TTTTAAGAAAATGAAAAATCGTTTGTGCATTTTTATAAGTGCAAAAATATGCAAATAGAGTAAATCATTACTGACTCCGACTCTGACTGGACTGGACAGAAGCGGCAGACAAAGTTTCCTATTTTTCCTTATTATTCTTTTTATGTATTTAATGCTGCAGCGCATAAAAATTGGCGACGACTGCAGCCTTTGTCGCAGTCAAGCACAAATAATAATTTGGCGATTTATTTGTTTGTTTGTGTGTTTGCTTGTTTTGTTTGTCTATGCCACCTAAAATTATGGCCGCTGACTTTTGCGCCTGCTCATAATTTAAACAGACAGCCACTGTTTGGCGGGGGGAGGGAAGGTTGCAAATAATATTCTTAACGCATTAAGCCTGCCTTGTATTATTGACAAAGAGGAATTAAACGCTGGGCAGCAAGAGCGAGCGGACTGCAGTTGCTTGCAATTAATTTTAATTGGCCTGCCTTCAATCTCGATTTATTTAAAGCGCGCGCCGCCATCAATAAAATCAATGCCAGGCCATAAATCTGCCAGCATTCATTGAATCGTACCCAAATGCAAAAGACAAGCATAACCCCCGATCTATTTCTCACTCTCGCGGAAATGATAAAGCGGCCAAAGGAAGTGCGAACATTGACCAGCGACGGACTTGCGACATATGCAGCCAGTCAAGAGGAAAGCGCCAACATAGTTGCCAATTTCCGGGAAAAGCTGAAAAAATAACATGGCCAGCCGATATAGAAAAGCGCAGTCGACCAAGGGATACACTATAAAGCTAGCGTACTACCAGAAACATTCAGCAAATAGCCCTCGAATTTTGTGCAAGATTTTGAGCTCTTCCGAAAAAATTCGAAGTGTTTTATCCTAGTTGGAGTTCATTATATCGCCTTATATCGAAAGCATCTTTAGAGAACTGCATTTATTATCAAATAATTCAATATTGCAAGACAATTAAAAACACATTATAGTTTAAAATGAAATGTCTGCTGTTTAGTAGAAAGATAATGTGGGCGAGAAAGCGCGATATGTTTCTTAAGTTTAATTTCGATCTATTATTAAAGAAACAATCAATCTATTATTATTCATGTTTAATGCCAGTTGAAACTATTTTCCTTAGAATGAAAAAGATTTTTAAGATTTAAATAAAAAGAAAAACCAATGCAATACTGAATTTTTTAACTTTTGTGGAGAAAGTGCTTATATCCGTATAAAGAGAGATAGATATAGTCTCCAAGTTTTTAGAATCAACAGTTTTCTATATAAATCAGATTAAGTAATCATTCCAATTAGATGCAACTATCAATGTCACCAACTGACCATTTAAATGCTCTTTACTCTTTGAATTGCAGTGTAACAAAATGGAAGGCAAGTAAAAAAGAAGTGCAGCGCAAAGAATTATTTGCCAGGATGTCCGAAACATTGTTGGTGTCAACAAATTCCTTTTTTTCTTTATTTGTTTTCCACTTTTCTATTTTTTTGTCAAGCAATGAATGCCAACTTGAAAAAAGAATAAAAAAAGAACTCACAGCTATTGCCAAATCCAAAAAAAAGTGCAAAATTAATGCCAAAACATTAAGGAATTTGCGCCTGGTGTCCTTTTCTTTTGTGCATTGTCGTTGGCAACGCTTTCGCGCAATTAAATTTCGTGTTAGTTTTATTGTTGGGTGAAAGCGGGGGAGAGCCGTGGGGATCGTGTTTGCTTTATTTACATGGCGTGTCTCTTGCCGCGGCTAATTAAGTTGAATGCATAACTTGTTGTTGCTGTTGTTGCTGCTGCTGCTACTGCTTGGCAATTGTTAATTGTGTTAATGGCTCGTAAATTTCTTGCCTTGTAAAACTTTGTGATTTGCCGTTTCTAAATTAAATGAACATTTTTATATATCTATGTATGTAGTATGTAGTATATGTAAGCAAAAAGGCCAAATGCATTACGCATACGGCATGTGGATTGGGGATTGGTGAAATACTCTGCGAAATCTTGTCTTCTGATTAGATTAAGGCTAGTTTATTAAAATTTTTATAAAGCCGTATTATTTTATATAGCTGCCATAGGAATCTTCAAAAATCATCTTTAGCAGAATAACTCTTTTGTTTATATATGAAAATATTATTTACATGCTTTATATAGTGGCACATGATATTCAGAATTTTTATTAAAATACTCTAAGAACCAAGAACTATTTTGTTATAGAAGAAATCTAGGGAATATTTCATATTTATATAAGTTTTTTAATGCCTCATAATAATGTGCAGCTTCAGCGAAATCGGAGCAATATATCATGAGGCTCTTATTTGTTTGTTTATAGAGATATCATTGGTGATTAAAAGTTTTCTAAATATAATCTTAAGTTTCAAACAAATCTATGGCCTTATTACACATTAAAAAGAGGCGATTGGTATAGACCGATTTAAACGTTCTAATCGTTTTATTCAATTTTTAATTATCAATTATATTCTTTTTTGTTGAATTAACTTTTTAAATTTCAAGGCAACTAACATTTATATAACTTTTAATGGCAATACATATTTCTTTTTAGTTATTTTGCAACTATATACTAAAAATTTGTGAATGAAAGAAAATAAAATATACAAATATTTAAAATGTTGTAAGAACTCTCAACACAATTATTAAGGATTAACATAGCCTAAGTGTACAAGAAGTTTGTTGTTCCTAACTTTAAATCTTTTAGAAACATAAATATATTTTAAACAAACGTATAACGAAACGGAAAAGGAGGGCATCAAACAAATTATGACCAATAAAAGCAGACCATTCAAATAAATTTACACTTGATTTCAGATGCTAATTATATTGTATTCAATCAATTCTTTGAACTTACAAAATTAAAAAAAAAAAACATGGGTCATCAGAAAACTACGAAAACGTATCAAATAAAATAAATAATTTGGGTTCATTCTCGATTCTCTTTGCATTTCCAACAAACTCTTCCTTGAACTGTAACAAGGCAAACAAACAGATTGTTTTATTTAAATTGTTGTACCACTGTCCATCGAGCAATAAACCCGGGATATTCAGTTTTTGGAGAACATTATGCAATATTGTTCAACAAATAGCAAATGCTTGTTCAATTTGCCACAAATAGTTTAATGGCTTTGAATATTGGAAGCAGAAGTTATTTTATTTCCTATTTAGCAGTGCTCCGACCATTAAAACGGAAAATTCATAATTTCAAAAGACTGCCGTTTCAAGCTATTTGCGGTGACCTCCAGAGTATTATGTGTTCTTTGGATAACCAAATGGAACGCCTAGGCTTCTAGATACACGGAAACATGCAAGTATTTGTGGGTGTTTGTGTTGTGTGTGTTTGTTTGTGCATTGAACCAAAAGTGAAATCAACGGCTTGCAAGCTCCACAATTTGTGCGTTTTTATAAAAATATGTACGTGTGTGTATATATTTCCACTTTCCATTGTGCTTTAACTTTGCTCTAAGCCTATAAATTCAGTTTAGTCCGTGCTGTGCTGAATGACTGCATGGCTGACTGCCTGCCTGCCGGCCTGCCAGCCTTCCTAGCATATCTGGCATATCTGTAACTCTATGACTCTGTAACGCCCCCCCAACGAGCATTTAACATGTTGTCATTTCTGCTGCATTTTTCTTATTTATGTGGCGCCAGACTTGGTTGGTTTTTGCTTTGGCTTTGTGTTGATGCGGGTGTTTGGTTTTGGGGTTCGACTTGTGCGGCTTTTAAATATTCATTTCGAATTGAACAAGCTGTAATGGAGTTACATACATAAAAATTACATTTGTTTTGGTATTTTTTAAACACTATTAATCGATTCAATGATGACAACAAGTTGACAAAATTTAAAGCTGGGCATCCACAAAAATATGTCTAAATTATTAAAGGAAACTCATTCAGTTCATGCTCTCTAGTTCACTGATTGATGTTAAATGAATAAAATATGTTTCGAGTTATCAGTTAGAGCAGAAGATGACATTTAAACTTTTACGTACTTCAGAAAACTTATTGTGGTACATTTTTCGAAAATCTCTAAAATATAAACTAATGAAGCTTATACTTGATTCATTTCCCTCACTTTCTAAAGCTGTCTTAAAGTTGTAGTGTATATATCTTATTTACAAATCGCCTTAATAAATATAAATTCTGCTAGTCGTCTTTAGTTTATTATTTACTTCTACAGTTCTATAAAAATATTTTAAATTGAATGATGCTTTCATTAACAAATCTAAAAGGAGCTTGATTTTCTTTTGGAAATTGAAGAATTTAAATGGGAGTATAACCGAACACTCTATGTCTACTTCCACAAGCTGTATGTATATTATTACTAAAATGTACTTTGATATTTTTGAATTATTTGTTCCTCAAAATACTTTAAAAAATTAAGAATTTAAACCGATATAAACCAGTATGTTTTCGCATTTATTACTTAGATTATTCACTCACTCTCCAAGCAATGCACTCAAGATTGAGGAGAAATTATATAACAGTCCAGTACCACATCTAAAAGCAGTGTAAATAATATATTCCTTTATAATTCAGTAATCAACTACTATTGTTATTCCTCTAGTGTAAATAACATATTCCTCCGACCGGGGGGATAATTTCTAAGCATTTACGAGTGAGAATTTAATGCATGGCTCACAAAGAGAAGAAACAATAAATAAAATTTAACTTTTTACTTGCAATAAAATGTAACGATGAAATAGTTTTTCATGGCTGAGTTTTTATTTTAAGGGTATTAAAATTTATATAACACTCGGGAATAGTAAACGTAAGCTCGCAACATTATATATATATATATTGGTTTCCATACTAGTTTATTCTCTTTATTAGAAACCGGTTTCTGCTTATTTTGCATTCTAAGAAATTCTCAACATGCAATTTTTTCCAACATCTTTTAACTATTAATTTTTAAATTAGATCTCTACCACTCAGTCATTCGTAAAAACGTTTACGAAATCGTTACTACTAATTAAATAATTAGTTAAATTTTCTTCAATTTGCAACTTACCGAAATGTAACTTCCTTTATAATTCAGTAATGAACTACTTTTTATTATTCTTCCTTTCGGGCTGTGGCGGCTGCAGCTGTTGAAGGTGACGCGGCATTAAAAAAAATCACGCATTGATTCTTTCATGAAAATTGTCTACGAGTGCTTTCAATTAGTTCATATTTACTTGTTCTAATTGTTTTTATTTATGCGTAGTTTTTATATTTTATTCCACTAAGTATTTATTGGGGGATTATTTTTGCATAATTTACTTGTATGTATATATTTATTTGAAATGATTAATTATATGTGTTCTCAATTTATTTTTTAACTGTTGCTGCACTACGTTTTTAAAAAGGTGACAAATATTTATTGCATAAGTAGTTTATAATAATTGATGCGATTATTTTTTATATAATTAATTGTTGTTTGAAGCACTTAGATTAGCAACATTTTGCTTCCTTCGCTGGATTAGTTAGTAGTTGCCTTTTATTTGCTGGGCACACGTTGCGTATGCGCAATATCCATTACTTTTTTTTCGATAGATTTGGCGAACGTGCGAGCAACTCGGACGCTGTTGTGCGTCCTTTGAGGTTTCGCACGCGTGTGGTCGACAAAATTGGCCGCCACTGCCATTGATGGCATTTCTGCTGCTGCTGGTCTTGATGGGCCGCTGACAAATTTCGATGCGCTTGAATCATTAGCGGTGATGGTGGTGGTGGTCTGGTGTGGTGTGGTGTGGTGTTGTGGTGGCAACAGATGTGGCGGGGGCAACTGGCAACGAAGTTGAAACAATGGACCGCCTGTTGTTGCTGTTGGTGTTGTTGTTGGTTGGGCCAGCGCCAGTTGCTGATGGCGCACGTCTTTTTTGGCACTGTCCAAAGTTGGCCGCGCACGTTGGTCAGTTCAAAGGTCGTACCACGCACACACACACACACACACGCACAAGCACACGTTTTTCTTAATGTTGCTGTTTTTGTTGTTGTGCGGCACTTGCGTTTGTTGTTGTAGTCTTTATTGTTAGCTGTATGGTCGAGACGAACGTATCCTTAGCCGCTATTGCTACTCCCTACTTCCTGTTTGTGCATGTGTGCGTTTGTGTGTGTGTGTGTGTGTTTGTGTGCCGCTAATGCTGTCGATTGACGGCCATTTTCTATTGACTGCACTCCAATCCAGCTGCTGTTGTTGTTGCTGCTACTTGATCTTGGCCAGGACGCACATCTTTTTGGCCCGCCACTTATTATTTGACTTGGCTAATCAAACTGTTTTTTGGCCCTGTTCTTAGCCAAATGGGGGGTGAAACAAGTGGAAATTTCCCTGGCCTGCGTCTCGTCTGTCATCCTGCGCTGGCGCTGCTGCGTCTTGGACCATCATCACCACCTCGTCAAAAATGTGGAACCAAAGCAGAAAAAAAATTGTGGAAACGAAGGAAGGAAACCTTGTGGCCAGCAAACAGCTTGTTGTTGCTAGAGATGTTGTTGTTGTTGCTGTTGCTGTTGTCGCACTTGGCTCGCTGGCCACTTTTCTTGGCTGGCTACGCGTCGCTCAAACTCAATCCAAGCACAACGGCAATGGCGGCACTGTGCGCGCTGCCCCTTAGGGCACACACACATTCCGTTGCCAGCCAGCCAGCAGTTTGTTGGCTCACAACACCGCCGCTACTACTTTCTTGGCCAACTGACTGACGACTGCTCGCTACGTTTTGGTTTGGCCTGCCAAACAGCGTGGCCAGCCAGAGCCAAAAACGGTCGACGTCGACGTCTCATCGACGTTCTCAATGCTGTCGTTGTCGTAGTCGCTGCTTCTGCTTCTGCTGCCGCTGCCGCTGCTGCAGCTACCTCTGCTACTTTTTTGTCGTCATCAACATCGTCGTCGTCTCCGTCGTCGTGGTCGTCGCTGTCGTTGCCGTTGTTATCGCCCACACCTCCCCACCACCCATTGTCACCCATTGTCGCTTGCAATTCCAACTGGCTGCGCTCCAAGCGGCAGCTTCCCACTCCACTCCCCACAACGAACGTCGCCTGCATTCGCAGTGCGCTCGTTGGCCTTCGTCGGCCCTCGTCCAACATCGTCTCATTCGCCCGATTCCTCTCCGTTCCGTCGTCAGTGTCGTCGTGCTCGCTCTTTTCTCTGTTTTGAAACGTTTTTATTTTATTTTTTTCCTTTTCTGCTCATTTCACGCAATTTTCCGCCCCCCGCCTTTTTCTACATGTGCTGCCGATGTTTGCCGCGCAAAATTGCTGCTCAGATATTGTTCTGTCCCATTGGAACTCTTTCAGACACTGCTCGTAGATTTATGTGCGCAGATGGCTTAAGTACTGTGGGCCCCCAAATTAGATTGAAATGGAACTCGGAATATACATACTCGTATATACATTTTGCATTTCAAACTTAACGGTTAGTTTTTAGAGCATAGATATATGTATGTATGGACGTGCTATGTTACAGAACTTCGCAGAACTTCAAAACAATCATATATGGAACTACTTAGAAAATGGGGCAGCAAGCACGAGAATATGATGCAGCACGGTTCAAAAACCACTAAAATCGTTTATTCAGTTATTTCATAGAATAAAATATTATATACTTATGTATACATGTATATGTAAAGTCTTCTTTAGGGCCAACATGTCACCAAACAATTAATAGTGAAGAGAATGCTGTATAAGATAATAAATTCAACTTAATTCCTATATTTTAAATACTTATTACTTGTAGTAATGTCCAAATAGTGGAAATAAATGCTTTGCACAGATTATGATAGATCAATTCTTATGTAGAGGTATTATTCCTAATTTATTTATTTAAAATTGTTATATAGTAAGTGTGTAGTGTAACAGGCAGAAGGAGGTGTGGCAAGCAAAACGAGTTGATTCAGCCCTGTCTGTCTGCCCGTATGTCCATATGAATACCTACAAATCAGAGCCTATAAAAGCACACAAGTGAATTATATGTGTACAAGTTTATTTAATTTTTGTATGATCAATAGATCAAAATTTGTTTTAAATTTTATTAATTAAAAAAATTATAATAATTACAGAATATTTCAACCAACCTTAGCCCTTTTCACTTGTTATCATTACGCAATTGTTTTTATTTGTAATCTATACATCCTGCTTATTTTTGGTAGCTTCAGATTCCAATATTCCTTATAAATAATAAACGATTTTTCAATTTATATATATTGTTTGATTGAATCCAGGTGGCAATCTAAGATTTAGTTTCCCAATTGTTTTATATATTATTTAAAGAGATAATTAGTACAAATTTGGAAAGGTTCTTCAAAGAAAAAAGTATTCCTTAGTTAGTGATTTCTTCCCAATTAATTCACTCTTTTAAATATTCAAAATCAAAATGAAGAGGCAAAAAGCTATGAATGGAATAAATGTTTAAAGGTACGTTGAATTTAATGTTCTCTTAAGCATAGAATCTTAAATTTTTACAAATTCAAAACTTATTGTTATTAGTGTTATTATATTTCTAGTTTCGGGCATTGTATATGCAAAATAAAATTTGAATACGTTTTTGATACATAATCTGTCGTTCAATATATTTTTTAATTTTCTTCATTAATTTCATTATTTATAGTATGAATACATTTATATTTCGGGATTTGAATGCTTATGATTATCAATAATTATACATTCAAGTTGCATCCAAACAGGACTCTTTTAAAGAAGAGCGCAGATTTGATTTTACGAAAAATGATCTCATTTATTTTATTGAAAATAATCAACAGATTTACCCCGCAATACAACGTTTTTGACGATGAAGGCCCATTTCAAAGGAGTATTTTAGATCGCCCGAAGGTTATAGTGACCCGAGGCCAAATCAGTTAAATATGTGAAGTAGTTGGTGGTTAAAATTTAAAGTTTTGTGATCAAATCTGACCGATGAGACCAAAACAAGAACATTCCTTTCCAAACAAGAACATTCCTTTGGAAGGGAAAATTATTCGATTTAAATGCGTTGAATCATGAAATTGGATAGATTTAATTGTTTCTATTCATTTAATTAATCGCACTTTGATGAGCCAGTTTGGAGTTAAGTTAGTAGTCATTTGCATATTTAAATGATGCCATAAGTTGCCGACATATTCATACTATATGCCTCGATATCTTGGCAATCTGAATGAATATGCATTCAAGCGTAATAGAAACAGATTGGCAGATTTTTGTCATTTGATTTCGCGGAGAAAACAATTCAGCAAGGTGCTCGATAGCAATCGCGAAAGCACGCAGAATTACTTGTACAATTGTGAACCGACAAGCCACAGTTATGAATGCGTTGAACAGATAAAGTGTACATACATACATATACTTGTATACTCGTATACATGTACATATGTGCGCTTTCGACGAAAACATAAACGCAGTCATAAAATTAGAATTTAAATGAAGCTGTAAAAAGTGCAAGCGGCAAGCGACTCGAGGACAGAGACTCGAGTGGAAGGACCCATTGGCTGGCCAACTTAATGAATGCAAATGGTCAACAGGTCGACGAAGATGCGAGTCGTCCTGTTAGACTGCCATCCTGGCGATGCCAATCAGAGTAAGTGTGCCCGGTTGGTTACTTTGTGTGAGTTATGCAACGAGTGGCGCCACTGTTAAAAGTTTTTATGCACAAGCACAAAATTTGTTGTAAAAATTTGCACTCGCTAATAAATTTCTAATAAATGCATGTTAAATAAAAGCCACAATGTAGCCAGAGACGCGAATTGGAGGGAAGGTCAACTGTGGAGGCGTGTTAATTGAGCGTCGATTATGGGGCTATTAATGGTCGCAGCCCAGTTAGTTAATGCAACAAAAACTGTGACAACTACAGCAACAGCAACAACAAACGTGGTCACACGTTGACCGCAGCAGCACGTGCATTCAGTACGAAAATAAACAGAAGCAAAAAATCAAAAACACGAGATCAACGCCGACGAGCCTCCACAACCATTCTATGCTCGGTCGCCATCGCTATAGCCATCGCCGTGCTTGCGTTCAACTAAACGTTTATTTATTGCTCAAACAGCGCCAAAGGACAACAGCTGCCTGCCACGCCCCCTCCTCCTCCTGCCCACCACACACACAGCGCCACTTCAGCGAGACAAAGGGCAGGCGAAAGATAAACACAGGCAGCAGCCAGCAACCAACAACCAGTCCAGCGTATTGCTCGACATGTTGCCAAATTGTGTGGACAGTGTGCAGCAAAAAAGCAGCAGGAGCTTCATAACAACAACAACAGTAACAACAACAACGAAATTGCGACATCAACGGGGTAGCTGGAGAACGACTTGATTTTTGCCAAACAAAACATTTGAGCACTTGCTCTTGGCCGCAGTTAACTTTATTTTGCTTATGTTAGTCACGTGGCTGTGACGAACCCAACAAAAAGGGCTGTACTTACACGGTTTGAGAGGTCCATTACAATAATTTGGAATGCCAGTAGATACAGGAACTAGTAAGCGCAGAGCTTAATATTTACAATTGATTACCAATACGTCCAAATTCAGACAATATGCTGTCCTCTGCAATTCCCAAAAGTTTTTCAGCAGATCATCTCATAGTTTTAAGCTGATTGCCAAAAATGTATAGCAACAATAGAATGTTTTTAAATAAACGTAATTTACTTATAGATAAAAATTAGGCTTTTTAAAAGTTTATCAGTTGTTTACAGAATCGTACCGCATTATTTTGATTTTTTTTTTTTTTTTTTTTCTAAACTTAACGAATCAAGCTCTTCAAAATGTTCACATTTTTAAGTATTTAAAAATGATAAATAAAGTCTAAGGTTTATTAAGAATCTTCGTGATTAATAAAATTGAACCTGTACCTGTACAGTTTAAGGCCATCACTAAACTGCTTTTAAAATTACTTAAAAGCGCAAATAATCGCACACTCTTACACAAGTAAAAAAGGCGATTTTATTTATAATTGCAAAAAGAAAAAAAGTTATAATAATAATACAAAATTTCACTCAAATATTAATATTATTTAAAAGCTGCATATTATTGAAGTGACTGAAGAGATTTTTCCGTTCTGCAAATAACATAATTTTTTTTTAAATTTTATTTCATGACGAAGTCAGCATATTCTATCAAAACTATGTTTTCGTATGATAGAACACTATCGTAAAAAGCAGGAAAAACTCATTTTTATGGGGAAACAAAGAATTTTGAAATTGTAATTATTACTTTCAAATATATTTTATAATTTTCTCTAAAAAAGAAACTATCCTAACTTGATTAACTAGTCCTATTCCTTGCAAAAAAAACTTAACACCAGGTATATACCTGGTCTCATATGTTTCATAAATATTCTTAAGATTGCGTTTTGAAAAACATCAGAAATTTGGACAAAAATGCATTTTATTTAAGTAAACTAATAGACATTTTCACCAATTTATGTCACTCCCTTTTCGACATAACCCTTAAGAATCCTTTGCAGCTTTAGCCCAATAGGTATGTCTGGCTTTTATCTGCTGCCCCCCTTTTGCTGCTTTAACCATTTAAAGCTAAGCCTTTTGTTTTTGCTGTTACACTTTTTGCTCTGTTCTAATCGTCTGCCTAGAAAATTACGCCATTCATTTTTTGGTTTTTGTGCAAGGACCGGTTTAGTTGATAATGTTGGCCCGCACTTCAATGAACTCACACACACACGCACACGCACACCAG